TTTGGACCGGCAAGATAGGAGTGTTACAAGGGGAATTGGTGGGAATCAGTAGTCCCAGAGCTAGCAGGCGGGTGATGATAGGCTTCAGGCCTTGACAGTGGGTCTTCAAGATGGGGAACTGAGGACGTGAAGGAAAGTGGGTAGGATTTTTGAGAAGTATCTTAACTGGAGTATGATGTCTGGCTACTACAGGCTTGGAGGTATCTCATATCAGGGGATTAGCTACGTCAGGAGGGATGGGGATTGAGGCAAGGAGTTAGGGCAGAATGTGGTGTCAGTTAGGAGTGGCAGTAGGAGGTGAGCGGATGATGGGCTTGAGTGTGGGGGGCCAGTGAGTTGGAGAGTGGCCCCTACAGTCTGGAGAATGTCTCATCCTAAAAGGGGGACTGGGCACGAGGGTATAATTAAAAAAGAGTGGGAAAAGCAGTGTCCCTCGAGGACACAGGCTAAAGGATGGGTTTGATTAGGACAGGAAGGCTTGCCATCAATTCCCATGACTGAAACCTGGGAAGGTATGCTATGTCCTGAGTAGGAAGGCAATACAGAATAGGTAGCCCCCTATCGGTGTCCACTAAGAAGGAAATGGACTTAACCGCTACCTGCAGCGTTACCCTGGGCTCGGCAAGGGCGATGGGGGTCTTCAAGTCTGGGCTGCGTCAGTCGTCCAGAAGGCCGAGAAGTTCAAGCGATGAGATTGCTTCCTGCGGACCGGCCTGTCCTCCACATAGAGGTGCGGGGGGTGGGCCTGTAGTCTGGGACAGGCAATCACTGCGCCAGTGTCCAAGCTGCTTGCGGTCTGGGCAGGGCTTGGTAGGTGGTTGGGGACATGGACACTGATGTGCCCAGTGTCCCTCCCGACCGCACTTGAAACAGGGCCCAGGCAGAACGCCTCCGGAGTTCTTGGCGGGTTTTGATGGACCGCTCCACCAGGCGCCTGGTGGGCTGCAAGCCTCAGGGCTGCTACAAGAGCTTGGGTTTGGAGGCTTACCTTTCGCTGTAGGCGGGCCTGGCGGGTGGCCTCAGCCTTTTCCTCTCGGCCATTAAAAACTTTAAATGCCATGTTTACCAGGTCTCGTATGGGAGTTTGGGGGCCCTCCTCAGCCATTTTAAGTTTCTTTCTAATGTCAGCCAGTGACTGAGAGATAAAATGGGTGGCTAGAACTGTAGCCCCCGGTAAAGAGGCCGGGTCCAGCCGGGTATGAAGGATCATAGCATTAGTTAATCGGTCAAGGAAGGCAGCTGGGTTTTCAGTAGGACTGTGAGTTATTTCCCTTAACTTATCATAATTAACTACCTTTTGGGCTGCGCTTTGCATGCCCGCTAGGAGTCACTGTAGCATTTGGTCCTGGCGGCGGCGGCCATCTTGACCAGTTTGATAATTTCAATTAGGGTGGGCCTCGGGGACCGCTGCCATGCCTACTGGCATCTGATTGTTTGTGAGATGTACATGATCAGCGTGCGCCTGGGCCGACGTAAGGTTGCAGTCACACTCATCTGGAGTAAGGGTGGAGGACAGAACTACATAAGTATCATGCCAGGTGAGGTCGTAAGCCTGGGTGAGGTAGCGGGATCCTTTGGTGTAAGCAGTAGGATTGGTGGAAAATGACCTATCAGCGCTTCTCAATGGCTGATAGGTCAGAGAGGGAGAATGGAACATGCACTCAAACAACGCCTTCCGCTCTGGCGACCTCACGAAGGGGACAAAGGAGGGAGGTTTCATCATTAGGAGCACAGCGTGAGCGAGTGTGAGCACTAACAGGAGAGGCTAGGTTGGGACCAGGAAGAGGAGGAGCTGGAGGGGGTTGAGGTTCTGCATAGGGCGGAGGATTAGTGGGTTGGGCGGGTGGAAAGGAGAGTTCCTCAGGCAGGTCGGGGTCGGAAAAGGAGGAGGATGGTGGAGGGGCCGAGGGTGGTGAGGGAGTTTCTTTGGCCAGGAGCACCTGAGCGGTGGTACCAGAAGAACAGAGGGTGGGACAGGAGCGAAGACACCAGAAGGCCTGAACGTAGGGGACCTCCGACCATTTACCATTTCATTGACGGAAATTGTCTAAATCGGTTAGAATGCCAAGATTGAAAGTTCCCTCTGGTGGCCACTTGGACTGGTTGTCCAGAGGATACTGGGGCCAAGCCACGGTGGAGTGGAAAAGCAGCCTTTTCTTTTCTTTTCTTTTTTTTTTTTTTTTTTTTTTTTTTTTTTTT